TTCCTTAGGCCGTAAACCGAACTGTTTTCATCCTCGACCTTGCCTCTTAGTTCTGGTAATTCATAACTTTCTTCGTTTGAAATTCGAGCGTATCTATTAGGCATCTTTGCGCGGTATTCTAAAAAAAATTTGAAGGGACATATACGTTGTGATAAACTTATTGGACAAATTCAAAAAATTAAAGATTTTGTATTACGTTATCTGTGGTACAAAATTTGAAAATATACACTGTGCTCATCAGTCGCGACTTTGTCTTAACCCTTAAAAAATGCCAAAACCGGTGAGACAAGAAGATATAGATTTTGTCTCCTGCGAGAATGATCGGTATGAAAGTGAAATTGTTAAGCGGAAAAACCACCAAATGCTGGTAAACTTGATAATTAGTCATGTTTTTTTTTTTATAGAAGTTATCTTATTTTGCATATTAGGAAGCTTTAGAGCAAGATGCCGTCGAGGTTCAAAGAATCATTTACGCAGCTAAGTTTTCTGCTCTTAAGAAATTTGAGGAAGCCGAACAAAGGCTTACCAAAGAACTCCAAAAATGGGAACAGTTATACGAAAAAATTATGGCAGACTAGTTAGTGTTTGATCTTTTGTTAATTGTCATTTCTTTTTGGCATTGATCATTAAAAAGAATTTTTTAGTGAAAAGGAAAAACTTGAGAGGAAACTTGAGTTCGAGGCGCAACAGGCACAATGGAAAAAAGAGATGCAGGTGTTTATTTTACTTCTTTCGCTCTCTGATCATAATAATGTCATTCATGACTCCCTACACGAATATGTAGCAAATGATCAAGACGCAAATTGAAGCAGAACAGGAGCGCATCAGGAAAGTCGAAGAAGCAAAAAAGCAAGAACAGATTGATGCTATGAATAAAAAAAAGGCTCTGGAAATAGAAAAACAGGCAAAAGAAAAGGAGGCAAAGGAAAAGGAGGCAAGAATGCTGGCCGAAGCTAAGAAAGTACTAGAGGCTGCCCAAGCTGCCGCCGAAGCTAAGAAAAAAACACAAGAGGCAACTCAGCCGGCTACCGGAACGAAAGGTTCAAAATCTCTTGGATCCGAGGAAGCGTTGAAAGAGGAGGAACGCCACCGAAATATGCTTAAAAATATCCATGAAAAATTGTCAAAAGTTCCTCAGCTGAAAACTGCAACAGTTGAGTCGAGGAAAAAGATTAAATTAAAATTGAATATTTTGACAAACAGTCGAGCTGAAATACTTAAAATAGTACGTTATTATTTTTTTAAATATCTTTTTAATGAAGTTCAAATTTTTTATAATTCATTTTATAGGCCGACGAAATCAGCAATGTGTTAAATTTATCGAAATCGAGTAATATAAATATTTATTATTTTCTTTTGAATTTCTTGGCCAAAGAACTTATTGTAAGCAAATGATTCTAATGTGATGCATCGCAAACCAAAATTGTTTATTCATCTCATATTATTTGTTTACGGACTTGATTAGGATCATGCAGAAGTTGATATATTATCAAACGAATCATCGGCATTTTCCTTCGCTCATGTGAGTGTTTTGATTGCAGCATGGCACACAGAATTCTGGAACTTTTTGATGGCTCGTTTCGTGAAAAAATGCCCATATGTACTACCACGCTATTTCGATATACGGGAAATGGTATGTTTGGGTTTATGAAGTAATACAATTGATTCGCATAAACACACGTTACTTATGCGTATTACCTATAGGGTAAAATGTCTGTTGCTGACTTTAAGAAGCATATCGGTTATAAAGACGGAGAAAAAGAAGATATATACATTAAACGAATGTGTTCGATTTTAGCACTATATTGTGCTATCATGCAGACCCAATCCATACATCCTAGTACGTATCGAGAATGCATTCCGTTATTAAGATCTTGATGAATTTACCTAAATATTTAATTTCAGACTTCAAAAATCCATACTCAATCGACCATGCGTGGACCTACTTGGCTCGGCTAATGAACCTGAGACCTCAAAAAATCACACCATTTCTTCTATGCACATGCATCCAGGTATGATACTTTCCGATGGTCATTTATAGATTAATGTATACCTTTTCTATTCTTAATTTAATTAGTACATTTATTATATCTTTCCACTTTCTATAGATCACTGGAGCTGAATTAATACGTGTTTATCGGGAAGATGCTTTAAAACTGTTCTCAGTTGTTTGTAAAGCTTATGTTCTGCAGCCGCCTCCAGAAGTTCGGACATTGCTGACTACTTCACCATCAGCAATGTCTCGACTCAAAACCATGTTGGAAAATGCATCACAAAAAGGCGGCAGATTTCCATATCCTGATGGAAGAGATCCACTTTAGATCAATCTACATCATTAGACATTATTAAATTAGAACTTCGATATCATGATGTCATTTTAATTATCATTCTATTTTTAAAATTTATGTATCAAAACAATATGATAACATAGTGTCACGTTATTAATAAAGAACCATTCGTCTAGAGATGCCCAGCATCAATGAATTACACCAGGATTCGAGTTTGATAACGTGATCGGAAGGAAAACTCATACGAGGTTTTGTATTGAATTTTACCAATTTTGAATAAGATGACACCTTTTATCAACATAATTTTTTGAATCACTGGTAGATATATATTATATTCACGGGGGTGTTGATGAGAAAATTTTATCTATTGGCGGTTATGGAAGGAATCTAAATATAATTATTTGTGAAGTACATCCCAATTTACTTCTATTACTTCTTTCTATTTCCTTCATCAAAACGAGGAACGATGACAATCAAAGATTCAATACCGTATTAAAAATAAGATTTAATAAATATAATAGTTTAATTATTTAATAGTTTGAGCTTTTAATTTTTCGATCTCGTCTTTAAGAATATCCAACTCAAGTCTTTCGTAACT